GTAGCTGATCTTGTGCACCCTCCACCAAGCCAATGGATCATCTTCTCCATCAATGGTAGGAGTCATCAGGTAATTGTTTATCTCTGCCTCTGCGACATCTTCAAGATTTACAGGCAAAGAAGGAGAGGCTGAACTGGTCTTGAAAAAACTGCCAAGAGACCTCTTCGTCTTTTCCCCCAAGGACTGTGCACTTTGAGGCATCTGAACAGTTTCAGTACGAGACCTCTTCTCCTATTAGATGAAAACAACAGCCATTAGTTTTCCAGTTAGATTTTACAGAAAATTTTTGTTTTTGTGAAATACATAATTATTTACCCAATGATATGTACGTTGTGCCAAGTCTACTATCTCTGTCTTCAGACGAGTCTTGATAGCAGGGATGTTGTCTGTACTGATGTACTGTATTTTGAACCTAGGGTCCAGGAAACAGGCAACATCCAAAAGCTCCTGGATGTTTGGGTCTCCATATTTGTTATTGAGGTATGCTAGGACTTTGGTTTTTATTGATTTAGTCAGGTCAGTGTCCTCAGCATCTTCAGCCAGGACTGATGTGGCAAAAAGGTGGAGAACTGGCTTGAGGTAGGAGATGCTTACATACTCCTCTCCAGAAAGAGCATCAGTAAACTCCAGTAGAGGATGCAGTGCCTTGTGAATCGACTCCAACACGTCAATATCCTGCCAGGTTGGGATAAGGGAGCGTGCATATCGATCTCCAGACAATACCTGAGAAATGGCTTTGGCCTGTTCAAGCACTCTGGCAATCATCATTTCTTTAGAACCCCATCTTGTTGGGCACTCCGTTATGAGGTTGTGCTCAGGGAGTTTGAGCTCTCTCTGTGCCTCCGTCAGGGCTGCTTTCTTCTTCCAACTGTGGGAAAAGTGCCCCACCAGCTTCCTGCACAGTGCTGTTGCCCTTGACACTCTGTCATCTTTGAGTGCATTTTCTAAAAGAAATAAAAAGTAGTGTATTACACACAATTTGAGTTTTGATACAAGGCTCTCACTATTACACACTCAAATTAGCTGTAATTCTGAAATACACACATCCACAACACATCCTCTCTCTCTCTCTCAATTCAAAGGGTCTTTATTTGCATGTCAATTCTCTCTCTCTTTCTCTCTCTCTCTCTCTCATAAACACTAAAAAAACATGTAAAAAACAAAAACAAGAAAAGAAAAAAAATGCAGGTGGGCATTCCACCACAGACAGACATGTGATATAAGCAAGTAAAATGAATTTACATATTAGAAAAGGAGTGGAAGTATGAATTTATTTAATCCCATCCGATTTATATAATATCATTTATATATATTTGTATATTCAGCTTTACTAATCGACGCATCTCTCTCTCTCGCACTCGCGCACACACACACACACACACACACAAACACACACACACACACACACACACACACACACACACACACACACACACACACACGATAACTTACCAATGGCAAGATGTAATCTGTGGCCAAAACATTGGAGCCTCGTCCATTCATTAAGCCGCGCAGCAAGCACCATATTCGACGCGTTGTCCGTCGTGATGCAGACGTGATTCTCCTCGTGGAGATCCCAGCTGACAAGCCCTTCTCTCAGGCCGGCTGCAATATTTTCCCCTGTGTGATCGTCTGGGAAGTAGGTAGTTTGTAGGCAGCGAGCTCGGAGGTTGAAATCTTCATCAATAAAATGGACTGTAAGACTCTGGTACGGCTCAGCTGTGCGGCTTGACCACATATCAGTAGTGCTAGCAAAAAACTCCACCGTTTTAAGTTCCGCGGCGACTTTCTCTTTGCACTTTTTGTACAGCTCCGGTATGGCAGTCTGACTGAAGTATGTGCGGGAGGGTATACTGTAACGTTTATCAAGCGTATGTATTAATGCCATGAACCCAGGCTTGGTCACCGTGCTGAGAGGCATCATATCTTTGGCTATGAACTCGGTTATTGTCCGAGTGATTTCTCCGTGCCGTTTTGAATTACGTTCATACGGAGTGACACTTTCGAACATTTATGTCACTGATCCCTGTCTTGAGGTATTTGGCTTGTCTCGCGCACTGATGCTCGGCATTTTGGTCATACAACTGTCATGCATTGATTTGTGGTATTTTTTTAAGTGCTGAAACAGGTTTGTAGTGTTACCCCGTGAAGTAGCAATCGGAGCACGGCACTGTCCCCGCACCCCACACCTACTGTCCCCGACCCCTCATGTTCACTTTTCCCGACACCCCTCAACTGTGTAGGACTATTTATTTTGAAGTGTAATATCAAATGGCCAGATAAGTGACCACATACACTCAGACACACATGCTCTCTCTCTGAGTATGGTGGTGGATACCGGACAGAACCCCCACACTCTGGGAAAAGCCTGAATATTTGAAACATTCTTATTTCCCAACAAATGTAGAATGTGGCCATAATGTTGTTCTGCCAAAATCCTGTACGGGCTTGTTAGCAAGGGGCTAACTTCAGTTCCAGATTCCATTCCAAGCAACACACAGCTCCTAGTCCACTTGAGAGCACACAAACACTTCCTGAAATTGCCTGCCAGAGGTTGGAGGTTTGGCCTTCCTTCGCTGGAATCGTGTGTGTTTACGTGCCCTGCTCCCTGCACTGGACTGCTCTATTGTTTTCACACAATTTCCAGATTGGCGTTCCCGCTTCCTACAACACCGTGTTACACTGCCCTAGGGCGCAATGTTCATCCTTTCTGTGTGTTTGTGTATACCCAATGATAAAATGGTTTCAGGTGACTGGTCTGCCTAAGTCTGCTACCTGGAGCCACCTCGAACAATGATTCCCCAACCACGCTTATAAGGCTAAATTGTAACAAACTTGCATAAACCACCATTTTTGGTTGGCTACCTTCTAACCTACAAGTACACCATACAAGAACGCCTCTGTCTACAACTGTACTGTCCCCACTACTGAAGGAACAAACCCTGCTCTGTACACTTCAGAGGTAAAGGTAGTGTTGACCTCTCAATGGCTGTCACCAGCAGTGGTCTCTAGACTTCCTCAGAGGTCAATTACAGCCTGCTTATCACCCCCACATCTTTAAAAGGGCTATTGAAGTTACAGAACATGAATAATAACAAGCCCAAATCACACAATGCTAACTGCAAAGTTAATTTGACTGCTTTTAAAGAGGTCTTACTTCTATTAAGGGAACACACTAATTGAAGCTGCATACTTCAGAGGGAGTGTAAAAGTAGCCTGTAAAGTTGCAACTTCGCAGTTCAACAAAGGTACATGAATCGAAATTGAAGAACAACTGGATGTGTGAGAGAAAGATTCAACCTCTTAAAGGACAATGGCTGGGTATTTCTTTATGAAAAGGTACTATAACCTTATAATTGTTATCATCATCATTCAATGTGCTATCATATGAGTCCTCTGTGGTTAGAAGGGAGGTGTCCTGTTTTATATTCAGCCACTCTTGGAGGATAGTGGGTATTTCATAATTATGTGAAAAGGTGTCATGGGTCTGCACTCAAAGATGTCGCATAAAGTTTACTACATTTTTATTTTTTTAAATACTGTATTTTCACTGCATCAGGGATAGTGTACACAGATGTTTCGTCTTTGCAGCCTTCAGTACCTACACACTAATGCAGTGAAAATATATTTTTTTATAATAAAATGCGACATCTTTTTGAGTGCGGACCCATCACACCTTTTTGCTTATCTGAATTTACGGGTTTTACCCACCAACCAAACTCCTGGGAGAGCACGATGGTCCCCTTTTTGATGAGGTCTTTCTTAATTATGGAAGAGAAGAGAAAACGCTACATTTAATTGAACCTCGTATTAGTCCTGTTTGGTTAGAGGGAGGTGTTTTACAAACACATTTTGGCACTATGAGAGGACTTGTGCTGCTACAGGAACAGGAAGGAAGTGCTCTCTGCAGACTTCCTGTCAGGGCTCTGCTCTACAGTTCACCTTCAGCTGAGGTGGTGAGAGGGAGCCAGCGGGGAGGGGAGGGGAGAGGAGGGGAAGGGAGTGGTAGGAGAGGAAAGGAGAGACCCTGTGTCCCAATTCTTTACCTTGCTCCCAAAAGTGTGCACTCATTCACTCCCCCTCATGCATTTAAAAGCATTTGATTGGTGTAAGCATGGGCTAGTAATCTTTTTAAATCTATCAAATGAAGTGAGCAAGTTCACACTTGGGGCAGAAAGGAGTGTGTTCCTGTCCGAATGTATGGGATATGAGTTAAAGGGACAGGCACCTGTTTAGGGGTTTAATGAAAGGTTAAAGGGATGGGACACCTGTTGAGGGGTTTACTAAAGGGTTAAAGGGATGGGACACCTGTTGAGGGGTTTATTAAAGGGTTAAAGGGATGGGACACCTGTTGAGGGGTTTATTAAAGGGTTAAAGGGATGGGACATCTGTTGAGGGGTTTATTAAAGGGAAGGGGAGAAGTGGAGTGGGGAATAAGGTCTAATAGAGAGACGTGACCTATGCTAATTGGATGGGGAGGTCTAAAGGTCACATCCACCTGCTGACACCATAACAATAGTGTGTGAGAATGAAGACAAGCCTGTCAGATGTAAAGACTGTCATGTTGCATTAAGGTTATGGTTGTGTCTGAGTATGAGTGCACGATTTGGAGGATGACTGTGATGACTCTCTCCCTGTGTCCTCTCCCGCTCTCCCTGTGTCCTCTCCCGCTCTCCCTGTGTCCTCTCCCTGTGTCCTCTCTCTTTCTCCCTCTGTCCTCTCTCTCTCTCCCTCTGTCCTCTCTCTCTCTCCCTCTGTCCTCTCTCTCTCTCTCTCTCTCTGTCCTCTCTCTCTCCCTCTGTCCTCTCTCTCTCTGTCCTCTCTCTCTCTCCCTCTGTCCTCTCTTTCCCTCTGTCCTCTCTCCCTGTGTCCTCGCTGTCTCTCCCTGTGTCCTCTCCATCTCGCTCCCTCTCGTGCTACCGCTCTCTCTCTCCATCCAGAGGAAGTCTCTGAGAGACCAGTGGCTGATGGACGGCCCCTCCTCCCCCACATCCTCAGAGCCCCGTTCCCCACTGTGGGGCTCCCAGGCCCAGGAGATGGAGCAACGCATAGACAAGTAGGAATCTCCTATTGTACACCCCATACTCGCATACTTACCTGTAGACTCGCCACATTACCTGTAGACTCGCCACATTACCTGTAGACTCACTAGAGTCTACAGGTAATGGGCACCCAAGTGGCGCAGCGGTCTAAGGCACTGCATCTCTGTGCTTGAGGCGTCACTACAGACCCTTGTTCGTTTCCAGGCTGTATCACAACCGGCCGTGTTTGGGAGTCCCATAGGGCGGCGCACAATTGGCCCAGTGTCGTCCAGGTATGGCCAGGGTAGGCCGTCGTTGTAAATAAGAATTTGTTCTTAACTGACATGCCTAGTTAAATAAAGGTTAAATAAAAAAGCACAAAAAAAACTTGATACTCACCACATTACCTGTAGACTCACTAGATACTCACCACATTACCTGTAGACTCACTAGATACTCACCACATTACCTGTAGACTCACTAGAGACTCACCACATTACCTGTAGACTCACTAGATACTCACCACATTACCTGTAGACTCACTAGATACTCACCACATTACCTGTAGACTCACTAGATACTCACCACATTACCTGTAGACTCACTAGATACTCACCACATTACCTGTAGACTCACTAGATACTCACCACATTACCTGTAGACTCACTAGATACTCACCACATTACCTGTAGACTCACTAGATACTCACCACATTACCTGTAGACTCACTAGATACTCACCACATTACCTGTAGACTCACTAGATACTCACCACATTACCTGTAGACTCACTAGATACTCACCACATTACCTGTAGACTCACTAGATACTCACCACATTACCTGTAGACTCACTAGATACTCACCACATTACCTGTAGACTCACTAGATACTCACCACATTACCTGTAGACTCACTAGATACTCACCACATTACCTGTAGACTCACTAGATACTCACCACATTACCTGTAGACTCACTAGATACTCACCACATTACCTGTAGACTCACTAGAGAGACTCACCACATTACCTGTAGACTCACTAGATACTCACCACATTACCTGTAGACTCACTAGAGACTCACCACATTACCTGTAGACTCACTGAGACTCACCACATTACCTGTAGACTCACTAGAGACTCACCACATTACCTGTAGACTCACTAGAACTCACCACATGACTGTAGACTCACTAGATACTCACCACACTTTGTTTCTAGATCTTCTTGGCCGTAATGCAGCTGTTTGTAGACGAGCCACCTCAGCTCATAGTCTACACATAGTGTTAATATTCTTACTCTCGAAGCTTCTATATTCCATGTTTTTTAGTGTGGCGTCTACACCTCTAGTGTTTATAGTCTCTACACCTCATAGTGTTTATAGTCTCTACACCTCATAGTGTTTATAGTCTCTACACCTCGTAGTGTTTATAGTCTCTACACCTCATAGTGTTTATAGTCTCTACACCTCATAGTGTTTATAGTCTCTACACCTCGTAGTGTTTATAGTCTCTACACCTCATAGTGTTTATAGTCTCTACACCTCATAGTGTTTATAGTCTCTACACCTCGTAGTGTTTAGTCTCTACACCTCGTAGTGTTTATAGTCTCTACACCTCAGTGTTTAGTCTCTACACCTCATAGTGTTTATAGTGTATTTCATGTACTGTAAGTGTATGAAAGCACTGCCTTTATCAATGCAAGGTTAAAAGTGAATGGTTTGTTCTGGCTGAGATTGTAATGGAACGCCAACAAAGTGCGTGTGTCTATGTGTGTGTGTCAGGTTGCAGACAGAGAGTCAACGGTTAGTGGAGGAGGAGGAGAAACTGGAGCAGCAGATGGAGGATGGCCAAGCTGTGAGTGACACACACTATGTCTTACTGTACTTGTGAGGACCTTTTGGGGACCAACAATTGATTCCCAATGATTCCCATTTTTCCCCTAACCCTAAACTCTAATTCTAACCCCTTAGCCTAAAATATACTTTTTTACAAGTGAGGACCAGCAAAATGTCCTCACTTCTCTGAATTTTAGTTAGTTTGCTATTCTTGTGAGGCCTTCTGGTACTAAAACGTGTACACCTACACTACACACACACAGAGGGAGAAATAATTAGGATGGCCAAGCTGTGAGTAACGCACATAAACACACACTGATACACACGCACACAAACCAATTGAATGGGCTAGCTAGAATACATGCAGAACAAGTAGCCCCATCATTACGTCAATTCTTCCCACCAGTCCTGACCGACGAGGCTCCTTTTAGATTAATAATACATTTTTCCATAATAATACGTTAATGCAGCTTTGATGTAGCACCTCTTGTTCAGAAGCAGGAACTTTAGAAAGGCCCTTCTTACATAAACAATGTACCACTTAGACGTGTATAATCGTTCCACCTCAAGGAAACCGTGACTGTTTACCTCAGAATGACCTTTTATTTTAGAACAAAAATTCTCTTCTCCTCTTCAAGTCTTTTGTTTGTATTTCTTCTCCTAACCTTGATTTTTAGAGGTTGTTGTAGAGACGTGAATCACAAACCGAGCGTGTTATTTTGACTCGTAGACTAGGAGCAGACCAGTGAAGGTTGACTCGTATGATAGTGGCTTTTTGTGGCATGGCAGAGATGCAACTACTCACAACAATTTGCTCTTGTTATAAAGAGAGTGTGCTCCCACCCTCTTTAAAGGTAGACTCAGTGATTTGACGTAGATGCATAAAGTAAACTGCATAGTGGATCAATTTCCGCAACAACTAAGAGCGTTGAAGCGCGAGGCTCAACTTATATGCTGTTTTCGTGCCCTGGCTACCAGGCTGTAACGAAGCGAACCCTGTAGACGTGCAGATACTGTGTGTGACTGTGTGAGAGAGAAGTCTTTGCATCTCATTCATCTCAATATCTGCTGTGCTGCTTGTGGCAACGTCATTCCGCTGAGTCTACCTTGTTAAGGTAGGCATATTTAGTATTGAATAGTCACTGGTGGAAGGTGGGCCCTAAAGGCTAATTTGCATCCCCTTGTGGGTTGAAAATGCATGAATGACGACGTTCATCTACTCTTATAATGGCATTGCTCATCTAGGGTCATGGTTACAACTTGAGACTGAAAATAATTAAAGAATGGAATGTGCCTATCTAACCCCGCCTGTGTCTGTCTCCTCCAATAGAATGCAGCAATGGTGGTGGAGGCTACAGCAGGTAGGTGTGACCTGTCTGTGAATGAACTAATGACTGTCTAGCTGTCACCACCTGTTACTGTTAGCAACCGCTGGTAGCAATCGTTGTTCCACTAGCACTTCTTTATATTACTTGATTCAATCAATTTAATTGCTGAAAGATAAAATAATACGTCTTTATGTTTCTGTTTGAGTTGATAATGAATGTGATGTGTGGTAAAAATACATTATTTTAAATAACAGATTTTAAAACAGAATCGGGACAGTTGATTTGAAATTCCCTTCGATCTTCAGTTGAATGGTGGGCTTAATAAAACACTGATTAAAAAAAGTGTTATTTCCATCTACCTATTCCCACAGAAGCAGTCCATGCAGTTATCTTGGAGAATGGACAGGAAGAAGTAGAGGCCGAATCCGGTAAGGGGTTAACAATGTTAACATCATCGCTCCTCCACTCTGAATCAACTCAAATGGGTTGTAGTCCCAGAAGATGCTACAGACTGTACTAGCCTTTGATGGTATTTGTATTACAAAGGCGAAACATTGTATTCATACGTCAGTGGAAGTTCATACATGCATACAGTGAATATCTATGCATTTTAATGATATGGAATACATATACATTGATGCTGATGAAGAATCTCATGTGTTAAGTTAAGTTATCAGAGGGTAAAGCACAGAAATATTATTTATATAACGTGAACATCCCATTAGACCACTGCTGTTTGGCTGCACCATGATGGGTCTAGTAATTATATTTCTATGGGGCAAAGAGCACACAACACAACACAAGCCAAGTCAGTGGAAATGTTCTGGTTGGTTGGATTCAGGGTCACAGGGACTGGCAACATGCCTTTGGCTTGGTGCTAAAATGTCCCTCTTATCATTATGACCTTCTGTCATGAGTCCAGAATAGAACAGCGGTGATTCTGTAAGCTGCACTCCCTTCTCTTCTTTTGGATTTCTAATGTCACTCGTTCCATTGGCCGGCCTCTTTTCTTGTCTTTCTCCTTCACTCTCCATAACTTTCTCCAAGTTCCAACAAATGTTCAACTCTCCTGTTTCTTCTGTGCTCACTATTCTAGCTGGGCTTTGCAGAGCTTGGTAAGATGGATGTGCGTGTTTGCCAATGGTCTTGCTGATAGAAGGCTGGGAAGATGATTTCAACATTTCCTAACTATGATCTGTCTCTTGTCACAGTTCTAGGAACAGTTGAGGCAGCTCTATTGGAAAGAGCTGAGATCCTCACCAATGGGAGAGGAGAGGGGGAGGGGCAAGCTGCTACCCACGATGCATCAGACGGCGGACTGCCCAACGGTCCAGTGACTGTCATCCCTGGCGACGGTACAGTTACCATGACGTTCCTGGGGTTCACTGAGGCTGAGCCAGGCGAGGCTCCGTTAATCGAGGACGACGAGGAAGGAGGATTGATCATGATGCGAGCGGAGCGAGTGACTATCACGGACGAGGGAGACAAGCTGGCCGATGACCTTTCCCCTCCGGGTCAGGAACAAGAAGTAGACTTGGCCGCGTCCAATCAGAGCTCAGAATCTCCTGAGGAAGGAGGAGATGAGAAGGTGAAACCAGAGACAACTCCTGAAGAGTCCTCAGAAGTAGCAAAAGAGACTGAGGTGGAGGCAGACACAGTAACAGGAGATTTAGGAGAAGGACAGATGGACACAGTAACAGGAGATTTAGGAGAAGGACAGATGGACACAGTAACAGGAGATTTAGGAGAAGGACAGATGGACACAGTAACAGGAGATTTAGGAGAAGGACAGATGGACACAGTAACAGGAGATTTAGGAGAAGGACAGATGGACACAGTAACAGGAGATTTAGGAGAAGGACAGATGGACACAGTAACAGGAGATTTAGGAGAAGGACAGATGGACACAGTAACAGGAGATTTAGGAGAAGGACAGATGGACACAGTAACAGGAGATTTAGGAGAAGGACAGATGGACACAGTAACAGGAGATTTAGGAGAAGGACAGATGGAGGGTGGGGCAAACGGTGGTGGAGAGGCACAGCCAGTAGAGGAAGCTCCTGTGTCTGACCTGCAGTCCCCAGATGATGCCCTAGATGGCGCTGTGGCGGCCGTTCCCGTCTACTCTGAGACCTCACTCACCCCCAGGCCCGACGCAGAGGGAGAGGCTGCAGGCGAGCCGGCAGAGGGTGATGCGGAAGTGAAGACTGAAGTGGAAGTCAAGGGGGAAGAGGTGGCCTTGGTGGCCCCAGAAACAGCCACCCTCCCTGGGGGACAGTTCCTGGAGGTGTCCTTAGTGGAACCCCAGACTGAGTCAGAGCCAGAGCAGGAGCCCTTGCTGTTCCCATCCAAGGCCCAGACCCTGGCCCTGGGGGAGCAGGCTCCAGCCGCCCCAGAGACACTTACCCCTACCAGGGGAGAGGCGGAGGGAGGGGTCGGTGTGGCTCCCAAACGCAAGACCTGCCAGTGCTGCTCTGTCATGTGATCGATCATTTCGCTCGCTCGCGCTCTCACTCTACCAAAGTTTTCCAATGCATTCTCTGTATACTACAAGAGGGACTTGACACTGCCTCTGAAACTGTGAATGAATGGTGGGCGGTAAGATGGTGTGTTATTATCGAAGTGCCTTGTGGATCTCCTTCCCTAAGAGTATAGCTCTGTTACCCACCCAGAGGAACCTGGGTTTTGTTCAGTAGGGCGAAACACTTTAAAATACTTTGAAACGGAAAATGAAAACTAGTGTGTTCCTTATTGGACCAGGTTCAGGTAGGCCCTCCCTGTTTGAGTACGTTTTTTCCTTTTGGTTCTAATGAACATGACCCTGTCAGCCTTGGCTGTGTTACTGTTGGCTGGTTGGCTGGTAGTGAGAATGAAAGGACAGTCTTGATCCATTATGCTGTATCTGTGTATCCACCCTACTACTCACAAAGAACCAGCTTTAAACTGAACTGAACTGGACTAAATGTACAGGTTGTGATAAGAGTTCCGATCACTGAAGGGCCTGTGTGTGTGTTTTAGTGAATTATTTTATGAGGGAAATGCTTATCGAAGGTCCTTGTCTTATTTTGTCCAATACAAGGCTTGAGGATTGTATCATGACCAGTACAGTAGGGATGTCAGAAATGACACCCAAGTCCTTTTATATAGTGCACTACTTTTGACCGGGGTCTATAGGTCTCTGGTCGAAAGCAGTACACGGAGTGTACAAAACATTAGGAACACCTGCTCTTTCCATGACATATACTGACCAGGTGAATCCAGGTGAACGCTATGATCCCTTATTGATGTCACTTGTTAAATCCACTTCAATCAGTGTAGATGAAGGGGAGGAGACAGGTTAAATAATAATTTTAATAATAAAGCCTTGAGACAAAATATTTAAGTGCCTTTGAACAGGCTTTGGTAGTAGGTGCCAGGCGCACCGGTTTGTGTGTCAAGAACTGCAACTCTGCTGGGTTTTTCACGCTCAACAGTTTTCTGTGTGTATTAAGAATGGTCCACCACCCAATGGAAATCCAGCCAACTTGACACAACTGTGGGAAGCTTTGGAGTCAACATGGGCCAGCATCCCTGTGGAACGCTTTCGACACCATGTAGTCCATGCCTGGAACGAATTGAGGCTGTTCTGAGGGCAAAAGGGGATGCAACTCAATATTAGGAAGGTGTTCCTAACGTTTTATAGACAGTGGTAAGTATAGGATTAGTGTGCCTTTTTGGGTGCGTTTATGTCCCAGCGTCATAGTCTACGTACAGTTTGAGATCTTTATCACATTGTCTTTCTATATGTTGTATGTGTTAGCCTTGTCGCCTACTTGAGTGTTGTGAAGGTTTGCAAAGTTCCATTAACTTAAAAAAAATTCCCAGGTTTTCCTGGTTGGAGGATTTTTGATCTCCTGTTTATTCCTTCCTGATTCTGGGAATCTTCCAACTGGGATTTCTGGACAACCTCTGAATTTTGGGAAAGTGACTAGGATTTTGCAACCCTACCGTTTGAATCTTATTTTGGTCCATTATCACTTGTTAAAGGGAAAGTAATTTTTTTATATCTAAATTCGATGTATTTTATTTTAGTTGTGTATTTTCCATAGAATACACAGCTCTTTTGCATGTATATAGCCACCATGAATTCAATCGGGAGTGGGGTCTTGGTTTATGTATAGAATGTATGTTTTTTCAACAGGATACTTTTGAATCAATGAATAATGGTTTAATGATTAAACTGAGATTTGTGAAATATTATTTGATGTCCTGTCTCCTGTCTAACCATTCTTTGCTTTGTCAACATTGGACGATGAAAAACGACCATGTTGCTCCATTCTAAGATAAAGCACACAGATTATGGAGTAATCTTTGAAGGGAAGAGTCAAAGCGCACAACGTGACAGCATCCCAAATGGCACCCTATTCCCTTTATGGTTGCACTACTTTTGCTCATGGGGATTAGGGTGTAATTTGGGACGCAGACACTAACTTTTTCACACAAACAGGCTTTTGCCACACCAGTGCTCTGAACATACCAAAGGTCACTTGTTTTTTATAAACTGGGGGGTTTGAGCCCTGAATGCTGATTGTCTGAAAGCCGTGGTATATCAGACCGTATACCACGGGGAATGACAAAACATTTATTTTTACTGCTCTAATTACGTTGGTAAGTAATTTATAATAGCAATAAGACACCTCGGGGTTGGTAAGTAATTTATAATAGCAATAATATACCACGGCTGAGGGCTGTATCCAGGCACTCTGCGTTGCGTCGTGCTATAGAACAACCCTTAGCGATGGTATGTTGGCCATATACCACACCCCCTCGTGCCTTATTGCTTAAGTATACTATTCCAGAGCAATTGATTTACTGTTTGTCTGTAGAAAAAAATCTTACTAAGAAATTGAGTATTAATTGGGAGAATAAAAAAATGGGGCAGCAGGTAGCGTAGTGGTTAAGAGCGTTGGGCCAGTAACCGAAAGGTCGCTGGTTCGAATCCCTAAGCCGACTAGTTGATGTGCACTTGAGCAAGGCACTTAACTCCAATTGCTCCAATAAGTCTCTCTGGATAAGAGCGTCTGCTAAATGACTAAAATGTAAATGCATAGATATGTATGTGACTATGAAAAGTCCCAGGTATGAGCACACAACTGTACATGAAATGAGCACCTAAAAAAAGCTTTTATTTTGCGATCCTGGAATTTGCCATAGAAAAGGGCTATTTTCCTGGCACTCTGCAACTGTGGAACTTTATGATATTGAAGAACATTGTGCCATAGCAGGACAGCAGAGCTATAAGACTGGACCTCTCTAGCCCAGCACCAGTGTTCACTACACACATCAGTGAAGTATAGACATACAGTAGATCGATACTGTAGATATAGAAATATAAGCTAGATATAGTGATACATATTGTAGATACTGTAGATATGATGCATAGATATAGTGAAACCTAGATACTGAAGCCATGTTCGTTCTATATGCCACAGCTCTCCTCTGCTTCCTGTCTTCGAGCCAATCAGCTCCTGCTGCTCCTCTAACCTGTGAGGAGCTCCTTAAGCCCATGGATCACCACGACTAGACCAGCAGCTCTTGGGGAGATGGGCCCTCGTCGCAGGCAGTGTGAGCCACCCCTCGTATTACTCAACCATGTTCGCTCTCAAGGTAGGACCCTATTCCCTATTTGGCACCCTCTTCTTTGTATGTAGAGCACTTCTTTTGACCCTGGTCTAAAGTAAAGCTTTATCTTTATATAGGGAATAGGGTGCCGTTTTGGATTAATAATACAAATAAATGACATGTCTACTAGGCTACATGTTACTTGTCATTCCACATTGTTCATTGTAATTGTTTTTTGATTGTTTTTTATATTGTGATTGTTTCTATTGTTTTTGTGGCTGCTGTATGAAAACAACTCATAATAACCACATCTCTTCTCTCAGAGAAAAGACAGTCACCATGGAGTTTGCATCCGCTACCAACACCAGAACCCCAACACCAGAACCCCAACACCACCACGACCATCCACTATACTCAGACTGACCGGCATGGTGGCTGGTGCAAGTACTGTATATACCCAACAGCATATCATACACAAAAATGTATGCACGCATGACTGTAAGTCGCTTTGGATAAAAGCGTCTGCTAAATGGCATATTATTATTATTATATCCATCGTCAACGGCAACAGCATCTTCCAGTTAGACATGAGGGGCTTTTGGAACATCACTGGGGTCTCCCTGGAGACCTCCTGCCCAGACTGCCTGGAGATGAGGTGGGTAGCATGATTAACTACAGTACCCCTAATGCTCTGTGTAACATATCCTGTTTGGTCTTATTAAAGATGTTCTTCAAGCTAACATAATGGTATCTCGTCTCCTTTTCAATATAAGGTGAGCACCGTAATAAGGGAGTCCACGGACCTGTACTTGCTGAGGAAGGTGGAGGGTGGGACGGGAGAGAGGTGGAGGAAGAGGAGATGGAGTAGTTCAGGAAACAGGTGGAGTGCCTGGGGCTTCCGCCGCCAGTGGTGGTGTAGCCTGGGAAACCCCTCAGTGATTCCTATCATCCCTGATACCCTACCCTCTTAAGACAGGGGTAGAAGAAGAAGAAGATCCATCAATGTGATAAAAGTATAGATTCTGAGAGAGTGGGGGCAGTGAAAGAGAGATGTAGAGACACTTTCTGTTTTGTAATATAGCAATTTTGTATGTACTGTTTGTTGATATACTGTATGACTGTACTGAATTATTTATATTGGCTTCTTTAACAGATTTAATGTCATTCATTGAGTTAATTAAAGTCTAAGAGCTTCAGTTAATTCACAGAGACAGTGGAATCCAGCAGGAATGTTCACAGCAAATTATCCAGCGTTGAATCAACTCTGAGTTCAATTTAATACTTTTCCAGAGTGTATAGGGTCCACACTATTCAGAGCTAAATTAACAATTTGTTTAGAGCTGATGCCATTACACTTTCTCAGTGTTATGGAATTAACACCTGCAGTTTTACAGTAACTCGTTTTGGGTGTTGTTTTAACCCTAGAACCACTGGGCTTCTCAGCATACAGTAGAAGTACCGGCTAGAGGGTTTCCCAAGGCTTGATGATTAGTTGACTAATTGAATCAGGTGTGCCAGTTTAGGGTTAAAACAAAAATGTGAGATGCCTGGGGGGGCGAGGAGAGGTTTGGGAAACCACGTGGTAGAGAACGCTGTCGGGCGTCACCTTTATCCTACGCATCAGATTCATCTGCTGTGTTGTTAGAAACCTAAATAATCCCCCCCAAATATTTTAGATTGGATGTTGTCACGTTTTAAGAATATTTAGTTTTTTAATGCAAGTATGGATTACTTTTGTATTATGCTAAATAAGCCTACTGCAACACAGGCTATTTTCCTTTTTCTTGCAATAAAACACCACAATGTAATACATTTTATTGGTAGCTTCGATTACTCATAGAGTCCAGTAGCAGCTTGTTTTTACAAAGTAAAAAATAATAATATACCTGCAAAGCGCAGTCAAATGATTTGCCATAAACATAAGCACCAACGCTTGATAAATAGTGCAAAACACAAATGTAAAGTATTAATTGCATAAATAAATATTTGTGGAAATATATCATCCATGACAAGATATAAAAACGAGTCATTTGTTGATTGTATCGGGGTTAAGGTAATAGTTAAGGTTAGGTTAAAGGGTTAAGGTTAGGAGAAGGATTAGCTAACATTCTAAGTAGTTGCTAAAATGCTAAAGTTGTCCGTGATGAGATTTGAACATGCAACCTTTGCGGGTGTAATTTAACCTTTTCGCACGCACATAGGCTTCAGCCACACCTACAGTGCATTCGGAAAGTATTCAGACCCCTTCCAAATTTTGTTACGTTACAGCCTTATTCTAAAATTGATTAAATTGTTAGTTTTTTTCCCTCATCAATCTCCACATAATACCCCATAATGACATAGCAAAAACAGGTTTTTAGAAATGTTTGCAAATGTATTAAAAGTAAAAAACTGATATCACTACATAAGTATTCTGACCCTTTACCCAGTACTTTGTTGAAGCACCTTTGGCAGGGATTACAGCCTCAAGTCTTCTTGGGTGTGACGCTACAAGCTTGGCAGATCCTCTCAAGCTCTGTCAGGTTGGATGGGAGCGTCACAGCACAGCTATTTTAAGATCTCTCCAGAGATGTTCGATCGAGTTCAAGTCTGGGCTCTGGCTGGGCCACTCAAGGACATTCAGAGACTTGTCCTGAAGCCACTCCTGCGTTGTCTTGGCTGTGTGCTTAGAGTCGTTGTCCTGTTGGAAGGTGAACCTTCGCCCAGTCTGAGGTCCTGAGCGCTTTGGAGCAGGTTTTCATCAACTATCTTGCTGTACTTTGCTCCGTTCATCTTTCCCTCGATCCTGACTAGTCTCACAGTCCCTGCCACTGAAAAATATCCCCACAGCATGATGCTGCCACCACCATGCTTCACTGTAGGGATGGTGCCAGGTTCCCTCCAGACGTGTTGCTTTGCATTCAGGCTTCAAACTTCAGAGTTCAAACTTTGTTCCATCAGACCAGAGAATCTTGTTTCTCATGGTCTGAGAGTTCTTTGGGTACCTTTTGGCAAACTCCAAGTGGGCTGTCATGTGCCTTTTACTGAGGAGTGGCTTCCGTCTGGCCACTCTACCATAAAGGCCTGATTGGTGGAGTGCTGCAGAGATGGTTGTCCTTCTGGAAAGTTCTCCCATCGCCATAGAGAAACTCTGGAGCTCTGTCAGTGACCATCGGGTTCTAGAAACATCTCAAGGATGATCAATAGAAACAGGATGCACCTGAGCTCAATTTCGAGTCTCATAGCAAAGGGTCTGAATACTTATGTAAAAAAGGTATTTCAGTTTTACATTTTTAATAAATGTGCAAAAATGTTTAAAAACCTGTAGTACACAGCGTTGTACGAGATCTTCAGTTTCTTGGCAATTTCTCGCATAGAATAACCTTCATTTCTCAGAACAAGAATAGATTGACGAGTTTCAGAAGAAAGTTATTTGTTTCTGGCCATTTTGAGCCTGTAATCGAACCCACAATTGCTGATGCTCCAGATACTCAACTATTCTCAAGATAACCATTTCGGCGACCGATGCGAGTATCTAACCTACAATATCTGTCAACAACGGCTACAGCACCTTCCAGTTCAACGTGGGGGGCCGATTCAACCTCACTGGGGTCTTCCTGGAGACCTCCTGCCCAGACTGTCTGGTGATGAAGTGGGTCATTTATATAATTGTACATTTGAGCCATTTAGCAGACACTCTTATCCAGAACAATTTACTGTTAGGGGGTATTCCAGTGTTTTTCAACTCTGGTCCTGGTGTACCCCCAACAGTACACATTTCTGTTGTAGACCCACACAAACACACCTGATTCTACTAGTCAACTAATCATCAAGGCCTTGACAAGTTCAATCAGGTGTGTTTGCCCAGGGCTACAAGAATGTGTTGGGGGTCAATTAGGACTGGAGTTGAGAAACACTGGTGTAGGCTACTCAGCTAAGGTCAGGTAGGTCAAAACAACCACATACTGCATTACAATCATTGCAAGTGAACCGTTCTTCAAAATACCCACTGGGCACGGGAGTAATTTCACTGAAATGACGTGGAAACAACATTGATTCAACCAGTGTGTGCCCAGTGGGTAGCCTCTATCAGACTCAAACTCAACTCTGGACCTCGAAGCCACTGCTTTCTTTCATCGTTCCCCTTCAATCAGGGACTGATTTAGACCTGGGACATAAGGTGGGTGCAATTAATTATCAGGTAGAACAGAAAACCAGCAGGCTCCGGACCTCGTAGGGTAAGAGTTGAGTACCCCTGCTCTATCAGCTAAATCAGTGCCAGGAAGAAAAACAAGTGCGGGTGTGAGTGTAAGAAAGAAAAGTACAACAGTAAAGTATATATTTTTTTATGTTGGGAGGTGAGCTCCAGGAGGAGGGAGTCCACGGACCTGTAACTGCTGAGGAAGGTGGAGGGTGGGAGAGAGGTGGAGGAAGAGGAGATGGATGAGTACAGGGGACAGGTGGAGAGTCTGGGGCTGCCTCTGCCAGTGGTGATGGAGCCTGGGAAAGCCCTCTGTGGATATTATGTCTTTCGTCTAATCTGGATAGAAGAAGAAGCTGGATCAATGTGATCAGAGAGAGTAGCGATGATCAGAGAGAGTAGCGATGATCAGAGAGAGTAGCGATGATCAGAGAGAGTAGCGATGATCAGAGAGAGTAGCGATGATCAGAGAGTAGCGATGATCAGAGAGTAGCGATGATCAGAGAGAGTAGCGATGATCAGAGAGAGTAGCGATGATCAGAGAGAGTAGCGATGATCAGAGAGAGTAGCGATGATCAGATCAGAGAGAGTAGCGATGATCAGAGAGTAGCGATGATCAGAGAGAGTAGCGATGATCAGAGAGAGTAGCGATGATCAGAGAGTGGGGGTAGTGAGACAGATGTAGACACTTTTTCTGTCATCAGTTTTGTAATACAACAATTCTGTGTTTACTGTTTCTCGATGTACTATAGAATTTTGGGAAAAAAGATGCATGATTTGTCATATAATTCTGGCTTCTTTAACAGATGTATTGGCGTTCACAGAGTTAATGTCCAAGAGCTTAAGCTAATTCACAGAGACTGTGGGATCCAGCAGGAATGTCGGGACGTCATTAGGGCCGCTCAAAATTCTAAACTCTATACACAATGGGAAGGAAAAGTGTTGTTTTGTAATTGGATTAATTTTGTATAATTTGGCATAACCTCATTTGTCCATGCATTAAAATGCTCATACTGTTCATTCTCAGATTAAACTGGATGGAACAGTGAACAATTCATAATTTGTGAGTGAGAGAGTGTTTCTGCAAATGTGGGCGTGCACAATCAAGGGGGAAATGTGGGTGTGAGTATGGACAGGGCCGCGGGGGGGGGGGGGGGGGGGGTAACCTACTTTCAGAACTATTGGGTACTTGGTCTTACTTTAGGTTCTGATTAGACATGACGTCCCTTTGGGCTTGACGTCCCAAATTCCACAAAAAATAGAAGGTCCGCTGTAGATCAGAAACTTTACAGTCCAGTGGCATCGTCACCAGCACAGACGATACCAGATCAACAGGTAGGTGCCATAAACGTATTAGGTATTGAAGGGCTCCTTTAAAGGGATGTCACAGTGTGTTCCATGTACTGTCTGTAGCCATTGTATTGTTACAGTGTAGTAGTCCTTGTGTGGAGAAGTTTAGCTTTGTTTATCAGATTATAAATTCCTGTTACAGATCTCTTTTGTAATATGCTGTTGGTTTATTGTCTTTATTAAATGTTAATTATATGGACAACATATTTTAGACACCACTAGATGTCCATATAAAATAATTGCCACCCATAAAATAAAATATGAGGTTTATATGCAATACCCCCTCTGGGAAATGTATGTTTAATGATGATCACATTTCCTAAAGCTCCTTTGATAAAGTTTAGCCTCGTTGCTAATGAGGAGAAATAGAAGCCTATTATATTATAGCCCACTAATCCACATCTTTCTCAACTCCCTATTACCCCACGGCACATGGGAATATCCTGGGACAGTTCCATTGGAGGTTAGCTTTGGGTTCCCTGTAAAATACACCATATATACAAAAGTATGTGGACACCCCTTCAAATGAGTGGATTTGGCTATTTCAGCCACACCCGTTGCTGACTGTTGTATAAAATCGAGCACACAACCATGCACTTTCCATAGACAAACATTGGCAGTAGAATGGCCTTACTGAAGAGCTTTCAGCGTGGCACCGTCATAGGAAGCCACCTTTCCAACTTGTCAGTTCGTCACATTTCTGCCCTGCTAGAGCTGCCCCGGTCAACTGTAAGCGCTGTTATTGTGAAGTGGAAACGTCTAAATAAATAATAATATGCCATTTAGCAGACGCTTTTATCCACAGCGACTTACAGTCATGCGTGCATACATTTTTTATGTATGGGTGGTCCTGGGGATCGAACCCACTACCTTGGCGTTACAAGCGCCGTGCTCTACCAGCTGAGCTACAGAGGACCACAACAACAACGGCTCAGCCGCAAAGTGGTAGGCCACACAAGCTCACAGAACGGGACCGGTGAGTGCTGAAGCGCGTAGCGTGGAAGAATCATCTGTCCTCGGTTGCAATACTCACTACCGAGTTCCAAACTGCCTCTGGAAGCAACGTCAGCACAATAACGGTTCGTTGGGAGCTTCATGAAATGGGTTTCCATGGCTGAGCGGCCGCACACAAGCCTAAGATCACCATGCGCAATGCCAAGCGTCGGCTGGAGTGGTGTAAAGCTCGTCGCCATTGGACTCTAGAGCAGTGGAAACGCGTTCTCTGAAGTGATTAATCACGCTTCACCATCTGGCAGTCCAATGAACGAATCTAGGTTTGGCGTATGCCAGGAGAATGCTACCTGCCCCAATGCATAGTGCCAACTGTAAAGTTTGGTGGAGGAGGAATAATGTTCTGGGGCTGTTTTTCATGGTTCAGGCTAGGCCCCTTAGTTCCAGTCAAGGGAAATCTTAATGCTACAGCATACAATTTATATTCTAGACAATTATGTGCTTCCAACATTGTGGCAACAGTTTGGGGAAGGCCCTTTCGTGTTTCAGCATGACAATGCCCTTTTGCGCAAAGCAATGTCTATACAGAAATGGTTTGTCGAGATCGGTGTGGAAGAACTTGACTGGCCTGCACAGAGCCCTGACCTCAACCCCATCTTTGGGATTAATTGGAACAGCGACTGCGAGCCAGGCCTAATCGCCCAACATCAGTGCCCGACCTCACTAATGCTCTTGTGGCTGAATGGAAGCAAGTCCCCACAGCAATGTTCCAACATCTAGTGGAAAGCCTTCCCAGAAGAGTGGAGGCTGTTATAGTAGCAAAGGGGGGACCAACTCCATATTAATACCCATGATTTGCCAACATACATTTGGTCATGTAGTGTATATTCTCTATAGTTCAACAATGTAACTCTTATTACAACAAAGCTATTGGACCAAGATTCATCCTAATGAGTTTGTTTGTTTATAAATATTGAAAAGGGAAATCAGTGTCTCATTCCTCACTCTGCAACTGTGCAAAGCGGCGAGTTGAAGATAACATGTTGTGTGTGTGTCCCTCCTCGTTCATAGCCCAAGGACCTGTTATTTTCTCAAGTGGAGGAACACCCAGTTACATTGGAAATGTATGAACTGTTGGAATCTAAGTCCGGCTGCGTCCCAAAGTGCACTACCTTTGTGGTTGCTTTGCACATCTCCAATATTAATATATGTTGTAAATAGTATGATCTACTTTAAAGATAGAAATGTAATGGTTAGTGGGGACAGCTTTGTCTGTCACAATATAATTTATCTGGAAAAAGGAGCATGTCCAATCTTGATATTATATCTCTATCCACAGCATTTTCCCACCAATGAATAGCCTGCAGGGCAGGCCCCTATGGCCAGTTAGACTCCAATCACCCCATGTTCCTCCATTCATAGTGAAGGTGTCCAGGCTTGTCCGCTCCAATAGGGCATTGTTATGTGAATGTAATCATGTACAGGACATGGCATTGTTTTCTGAATGTAATGTGCAGTATACCAGGCCAGGACCGCTGCACGCTGTCGTACTGTCCCAGATCTACTGTTCATCCCATTGGTTCACCACCAGTCTTCTCTGTTCTGTCCCACATTCCTCTGCTAATGATTCCTTACAGCGCGTGCCAAAACCCAGTGCACTGTGTGTGTGTGTGAGTGAGTGTGTGTGTTAAAACCCACTGCACTGTGAATCACACTGTGAATGGTTTAGCAGGGAGGGGAAGCAAGGGGGATGGATGCGGCATCTTTTTTTTCTGTCTGGTGCTAGAAACTGGAGAGCTGAGCAACCAGGCAGAGAGAGCATGGGGAGGATTTGGGCAAGGGAGGGAGGGAAAAAGTGTGACTGTGAGAGAGAGAAGGGGGGTAAATGAGATAGCTAGAGAGAAAGTGTGACCGTGAGATAGAGAAAGTGTGACAGTGAGAAAATGGATGAGAGTAAGGATGGGGAGAAAAAGTTTGGAATAGTGGTTTTGGGGCTTGAGTGATAAATTGGAAAGTGAGACTGTTTTGGAGTGTGAATGAACCTATTAAAGTTCTTTGAAAGGGAGAGAGTGAGAGGTTGGGCTGTCCCTATGGCCAGGATGCCATGACAATAATGAGGACAAAGTACAGACCAATTGTTCTGCTCGCTTAACTGGTGTACAACACTTGCATGTGTGAGAGAGAGTGTTACTGAGCCTCTTGCTCTGAGGTGGTTAAGCTCATTAAAGATTGAGCCACTCAGCAGAAAACTTTACATGTTGCACTGCAGAGGTTGCCTGGCTACCCAACTACATTGCTCCAAGCAAACGCCACACCCATGAACGTTTCTTCTCCTCAATGAAGTATGTAGCGAACTATAAAGCAGCGGAAGAATTCAGTTTTGAGTCGTCAGGCTACTGCAGAGGAGGAGAATCGTGTGTGTAGTAGAAATTCTCACCTCATTGCCAAAGCCTAACACAATGCAATAAAATGCCATAACCATTCTGCAAGGCATGAACAACAACAATTGGTTAGCATTATAACAGGTTTATAAACCATTTAGCTTTACAACACAGAGTGAATGGTGTGTCAAACAGTAAGAAGTATGGGAATACAGTATGAATGACATAATACAACAATATTATACTGCATGTGTTTGTAAAATGGATCTGAAAATGGGTTGCCACGCCAGGTTTGTTTTTTGTTCAGCTCCGCTAATCGTTCGTTTTCCTCTCTGTCCTCTTTTTCCCAGACCGACCTGCTGAAGGCTGACCGTTACAAACTGTTCTAGTCCAGACTGCTACTTCAGGTCAACAGAGCCAGCCAATTGGCAATCTACCCGTCTTATCATGGCAACAATGGAGCCGGTGGCCAACCGGCGGAGATCAGCCGACTCATTGGACGAGTGGGCCAGCGAGGTTTGGGGGACAGAGGAGGGTGAAATAGACCCCACTCTGGCCCAGGACACTACCCCTCCTCCTCATCCGCTGGTCAAACAGGCACCCAGAGTAGAGTCAGAAGACCTGGGGTCGGAATCTCCAGATGCTCCAGAGCCTAGACCTCAAGTGTCTCCATCAAGTGAGAACCTTACAGACTCAACAAACAAAATGGCAGAAGTGGTTCCTAAAATGGAGCAGATGGCACTTTCTGAGGTAAATCAGGTGCCTGGTAATAGAAACCAGGAGGGTGATGCTGTTGCTTTTCTATCGCCTCTTCACTGCACTGACCAAGCCTCACCTGCAGAGGGCGCTCCAGAGACAGAGACCCAGCAATATCCATTGGAGGAGGAGGAGGAAGAAGAAAAGAAGACCATTGACTGTATCAGTGATGGTAAGGTGGAAATGATCTCTGACCCTGTAGAGGAAGAAATGTCGTCATCTGACAGCCAGGGTAGCCAGGAGTGGCCCCAGAGATCTCACCTTGATGACATTGTGGAGGAAGACAAAGTAGAGGAATCTCAGTCTGCTGAGATGATGGAAAATGGCGCTGTGCAGTTGGAGTTGAACACAGAGTGTCCAACTAGTAATAAACTTGATCAGGGGCTGTCAGAGACCGTGTGTGCTACAGAACAGGCTTCTGTAGAAGGAGGTCCTGTTGAAACTAGCAGAAGTACCCCATCAGTGGAGGTAGCTGACAAGCAAGAGGCTAGTGAGGGCCCAATCAGTAGTAACAGAGAGAAGACAATGTCAGACAATATCGACCATGATACTATGAAGGCTACTGAAACTAGCGCTACCACCCACTCTCCTCTAAAAAGAGAGAGTTCCGATGACATATTCTCTAATGAGTCCCCAGAAGACCTTGAATCAGCTATTGCCCGTGATGGAAAAAAGAACCAGAGTGTTGACTCCAAGCCTTTAGACATCAGCTCAGCCCGGAGGCAGTGGGTTAGGCTGGACAGTACCAGCAGCAAACCCCCCCAGCCTGAGCAATCCACATCCTCTAGATCGTCCTCTTGTAGCCTCCTAGTAGACCTGGCCCAGCCCCAGGGTGTAGTTACACCAGATAAACAGCAGGGAGAGCAGTTGTTACAAAATGTCACTGCTGCCCTGACGCATCATAGTAACCAGGAAGTGGCAGCACAACAGGTGTTCAAGGGAGCAACTCCGGCTCCGCCCCTGGCGACGGTCGCCAAGGAGACAGCTAATCAGGTCAAGGCAGGTCTCCTTGGCTCTGGCTGTGTTGTAGTGAAAGAGCAGGCGGGTGGAGAGAGGGAGGAGGGAAAGAGGGAGGGAGACAACAGGCAAACCGGTGGAGAGAGAGGGCAGAGAGCGAGTGGACTTGGCGCAGCGGGCGAGGCAGACAGGAAGAGAAAAGAGAAAGAAAAGCAAGGTGCAGAGCAGGGTTCAGAGAGAGTACAAAAAGAGAAACGGAGAGAAGAAGAGAGGACAAACCCTGGGTTGTTGAAGTCGAGAGACAGTCACAGCAAAGCTTCCAAGATGAAGTTGGGAGGAGACTTGTTCGATGACAGCCAGAGTGACAGCGGCGTATCTGTCGACTTCTCCCCTGGTAGTACCGTGGAACTCCAAACCACCCCCGACAGCCCCCCCACCCTCACCTCGCCTCCGGCCGACGAGACCCCCATCGAGAGAGAGATCCGTCGGGCAGTGCAGCGTGAACAGTCCCTCAGGAGATCCAGGGGCCTCCACAACAAGCCACCCACCCAGGAATATGTGGACATCCCCCTAAGGAAGTCAATCTTGACCCAGACCCTGCCTTCCAAATCGGACAAGAGCCAGGGGGGGAAGGACAGTCAGTTTGCGGGGAAGAAGATGCAGAAGGAGATCAGTGTAGAGACCCAGAGGGAACAGGTCCTGGTTCAACAAGGGAAAGTTAGAGGTTCCTATGACAAGGGGACAGTACGCCAGCTCAAGGAAAGGAAGAAGTTATTCGAAGCTTTCCAGGAGCCCATGGAGACGTCCTCGATGATGTTGTCCCAGAGCAAGGCACCTTCCTGGGTGTCGGCGTGTGACCTCTCCACCCTGGAGATCCAGGGGGACGATGCTTTGTCTGTGTCCGTTGTCGGAGGCTCATTTGGGGAGAGAAGACGCAGCCTGGAGCTGATGTCCCAGACCCAGAACCAGAGCCCCTCTGGAACACCCAGAGGCATCACCTACATCCCTCATGGGGCCCCTGTCCCTCGGGGCCCCACTCTTTCCGAGAGCAGCGGGGGCCAGATCATCATCCTGGAAAACCACCACCACCTGGTTCTCCCCGCCCCGGCCCACCTCCACCATGCCTCCAAGCCCCTCAGGCACTCCCACAGCACGGGCACGCTCACCGAGTCCCAGGGCCTCACCGTGGTCGACTCTGCTTCTATATACTCCTCAACCAGTGCACTCAGCGGAGAGGAGAGAAGGGGGTTTTGGAGGGATGAGGATGGAGGGAGGATGGAGCAGGCTGAGGAAGAGGAGGAGGAGGAAGAGGAGCTTCCCAAGGAGAACCCCTTCTTCAAGCTGCGCTCCTCATCGGTGTCTCAGGACAAGGTGGAGCAGGATATCCGGGAAGCCAGGGAAAGAGAGAAGGAGCTGCGGAGGCAGAGGAGCAGTCTGTATGGGGGAGGAGGAGGGGGGAGGCCTGCCAGTAGAGAGGTACAGAGTCACACCTCTCCTCCTCCACCTCTATTACTACAGAATGGACTGGCGACCCCTGAACTATCTGTGACCCCCTCATTGCGGACAGCCTCAGCAACACCAACAGGTTAGTGTATAGTGTGTGTGTGTTCAATTTTCTCTGTGTGTGTGTGCTTTTGCATCAGGAGAGATGATGAAAATACTATGTAATAGTTCAGTGAGGATATTGGGTCAGCTACTGCTACATCCTCAAACATCTAATACAACATTCTCACTGTCATCAATAGTTCTGCTCCAGAGATCACAGACTTTGAATGCATCCCAAATGGTACCCTATTCCCTAAATAGTGCACTACTTTTGACCAGGGAATAGGGTGCCAAAGTAGTGCACGGAATAGGGTGGGTGCCATTTGCGACGCAACCCTTGGCAACAGGCTGAATGATACACTACAGGGTAACTGACTGAACTAAAGTTGGGATCTTTTGTAGAATTAACTGCCGGATCAAAAGTGAGTGAAAATATATAAAAGTGAAAAACACTGACTCATGTCTTGACCCTTCATTGTGTCAGCAAAAAAATAAGTGCTTTAGAAAATATTTTCCAAGATGAGTTGGAAGCCTAGAATATATGCTTGTGAGGCAACTTTGTATTCTGGGAGTTAGTAAACACTAAGGGATGTTTAACATGAATTAATATGTAAATAACTAATACAATCTAATGGTTATACATTTCAGGGCGTAAATCACCCTTGGAAATCCTTCAAAGTGCTTAGTGATGTGACCAGTATGAAAAATGCTTTTCATTTAAAGCTGTTATCATAGTAATAATTAGTACCAGTATTATTCCGATGTGCTATGCCAAGGCAAACTGGGCGTATTGTGTATGTTGTCAGCGGTAGGCCGACAGTAGCTGCCAAACAGACAAGGACAGGCCTGGCTCATCTGGGTACAGTACTGTATAGAGGGATGCCAGGGTTAGGGTATGCCAATAGAACACAGTCCACTGTGACTCCGGATCTGAGAAATCATAGATCATTATGTAACTATAAATTCCTCTCTCTCTCTCTCACTTGCTTTCTCCCTCTCTCTCCAGCACGACAGTCTCTTGGGAAGCTGGGCATGTGGCCTCCACCCCAGACAGATGAGTGTCCGGATAGCCAGTCAGAGGTATGTTATATCCTTCCCTCACCAAACATAATCTATATAGGCCCAGGAGTTTTCCTGAGCAGGTAAAACGTTGGGGCTTAATCATAAGCTTTGACTAGCACTCTTAGTTTATGTCATGTGCATAGAAAAAAACACAGGGTGCTCAAAGTTTATTTCCTGGTTAAGTCACACGGTCAGTAAAAAACACCTGGCCCTAACATACGGTCGTCACTAGTTACCACAGCCACAAAGTCGTAAACTCTGCCTATTTCTTCTTAAAATTTTATTTTAAACCTAACACCAACCTTACCCCTAACTTTAACCACACTGCTAACCTTATGCCTAACCTTAAATTAATTAGAAAATAACATTTTTGTTTTAATGATTTTTACTTTTTGGCTGTGCTATCTACACTCTTAGAAAAAAGGGTTCCAAAAGGGCTATTCAGCTGTCCCCAAAGGAGAACCCTTTTTGTGTTCCATGTACAGTGGCTTGCGAAAGTATTCACCCCTTGCCATTTTTCCTTTTTGTTGCTTTACAACCTGGAATTAAAATGGATTTTTTGGGGGTTTGTATCATTTGATTTACACATTCCTACCACTTTGAAGATTGTGAAACAAACAAGAAATAAGACAAAAAAACTAGGCTATTCCAAGACATTTAAATGTTTCCCCTTAAACCACTGCTTTAGCAGTATGCTTAGGGTCATTGTCCTGCTGGAAGGTGAACCTCCGTCCCAGTCTCAAATCTCTGGAAGACTGAAACAGGTTTCCCTCAAGAATTTCCCAGTATTTAGCGCCATCCATCATTCCTTCAATTCTGACCAGTTTCCCAGTCCCTGCCGATGAAAAACATCCCCACAGCATGATGCTGCCACCACCATACTTCACTGTGGGGATGGTGTTCTCGGGGTGATGAGAGGTGTTGGGTTTGCGCCAGATATAGCGTTTTCCTTGATGGCCAAAAAGCTCATCTGACCAGAGTACCTTCTTCCATATGTTTGGGGAGTCTCCCACATGCCTTTTGGCGAACACCAAACGTGTTTGCTTATTTTTTTCTTTAAGCAATGGCTTTGTTCTGGCCACTCTTTCATAAAGCCCAGCTCTGTGGAGTGTACGGCTTAAAGTGGTCCTATGGACAGATACTCCAATCTCCGCTGTGGAGCTTTGCAGCTCCTTCAGGGTTATCTTTGGTCTCTTTGTTGCCTCTCTTGCCTGGTCCGTGAGTTTTGGTGGGCGGCCCTCTCTTGGCAGGTTTGTTGTGGTGCCATATTCTTTCCATTTTTTATAATGGATTTAATGGTGCTCCGTGGGATGTTCAAAGTTTCGGATATTTTTTTATAACCCAACCCTGATCTGTACTTATTCACAACTTTGTCCATGACCTGTTTGGAGAGCTCCTTGGTCTTCATGGTGCCGCTTGCTTGGTGGTGCCCCTTGCTTAGTGGTGTTGCAGACTCTGGGGCCTTTCAGAACAGGTGTATATACTGTATACTGAGATCATGTGACAGATCATGTGACACTTAGATTGCACACAGGTGGACTTTATTTAACTAATTATGTGAATTCTGAAGGTAATTGGTTGCACCAGATCTTATTTAGGGGCTTCATAGCAAAGGGGGTGAATACATATGCACGCACCACTTTTTCGTTATTTATTTTTGGGAATTTTTTGAAACAAGTTCTTTTTTTCATTTCACTTCACCAATATGGACTATTACATGAAATCCAAATAAAAATCCATTTAAATTACAGGTTGTAATGCAACAAAATAGGAAAAACGGATGAATACTTTTGCAAGGCACTTTAGAACCCTTTGTGGAATCAAAGGTGTTCTACCTGGAACCAAAAAGGGTTCTTCAAAGGGTTCTCCTTTGGGGACAGCTGAAGAACCTATTTGGGTTCTTGATAGCACCTTTTTTTCTAAGAGTGTAGTGGAAACCATAACATACCCAAACAACCATGTCCACTCCATACATATGCACCAGGACACTATCTCTACATTAGACTCAATCTTTAACCCAGTATGGTGCCAGATATAGCACCAGATCACGCTGGGAAAAAGGTTTTTGTTTTCTCAACAAATTCAACCCACAGAGCTAATAACACCACATCCGTATGTTTATAAATTAAGATAAGAGAGAGAGAGAGAGGGGGGGGGGGGGGGGGAGAGAGAAAGAAAGAAAGAGTCCCTCCTGAGTTCGAGACTTGGGTTACACATCATCTCTCTGAAGTTAAAGCGACTACAAGATTAGCATCGGCTGACTGACTGCAGCTTTATAAATCAGCCATAATTGTAAATCAGTCTGACAGCTAGCCTGAGCCCCATGCAGTCCCTTTAGCCTGGTCCCAGATCAGTTTGTGCTGACAATGATCAAAGGGGTTCACTCTGCTTCTGCCCGCTACATAATCTACAGTGTATATCTACACAGACTACTGATAAGAAAGATTCAATAATAACGAATGGAGGGAGATAGATAGCGATGATTGTCGACTTAGAGCAGTGCGCTGAGAATAGCATAACATGGTTATGGATCACGGTCATATTAGCTTCACATTTTTAATTTATTGTCATTTGATCTTTTTTATCTTAATCTTTAACTGCATTGTTGGAAAAGGACCCGTAAGTAAGCATTTCACTGTTCGTCTACACCTGTTGTTTACAAAGCATGTGACAAATTTGATTTGACATGACCTCGGTGCTAACGATGTTGATCCATGAGATGACCTCTAGGGGCGAAAACGAATCATCCTTTTTCATCTTCCCCTCTTTTCAAACTTCTCTACTCTCTATTATAACTCCCTCTACTCTCTATTATAACTCTTTCTACTCTCTATTATAACTCTCTCTACTCTCTACTCTCTATTATAACTCTCTCTACTCTCTATTATAACTCTCTCTACTCTCTACTCTCTATTATAACTCTCTCTACTCTCTATTATAACTCCCTCTACTCTCTACTCTCTATTATAACTCCCTCTACTCTCTACTCTCTATTATAACTCTCTCTACTCTCTATTATAACTCCCTCTACTCTCTATTATAACTCCCTCTACTCTCTATTATAACTCCCTCTACTCTCTATTATAACTCTCTCTACTCTCTATTATAACTCTTTCTATAACTTCTTTCTCTCTCTCAATGTCCCCTTCTCTCCCATCTTTCTACTCTCTTTCTCGCTGTCCACTTCTCTCATATTTCTCTCTTCTTATTATCTCTTTTAACTCTCTCTCTCACACACACTTCTCTCCCTCTCTCTCTCTTTCTTCTCCCTCTCTTTCTCACCTTCTCTTCTTTCCAGGGCCTCCAGAGCCCGCGGACCACCAGACAGAAGACTCCTCTCCTGCAGCGCTGGGAGACCGGCCAGATCATGAACGGCCATGGGGAGGAGGAGGACTAAGACAGGCCTTGGGTCAGTTTGTCCTTTTAGATCATAATGAATAAGATTACATAGACGGGGGAACCTGATCCTAGATCAGTACTCCTACTCTGAGACGGTTTATGAATACGGGCCCTGATCTACTGCTGAAAGCCCAGGGGATGGATGGGAAGAAACCAGATCATTGGAATTAAGAATTAGAAACAGACAACCAGGGAAGTAGAACATCTGAAAATGCAGTGGAGAAACAGAGGTTTTGGTGGTTGGAACTCTGGACGGTTGGTATGGAACCATTTGAATGTCAAATCAGAACTTTGGAACTGAACTGTAAATTGGAGCTTTGGAATGTAGTGGGAGAGATTGGAACCAATGGATGCTCATTGGAAGATGTTTTTACCAGAAGAGACTGGCTGAATCTCTACAGTATGATTTTTGTGAGGTTTTAAGGAAGGAGGCTGAAGTTGAAGGAGGTTGAAATGGGTTAAGTTGTATTGTTTCTTGAGCCCATGTCCCAGCACAGATTTATATGTAAATGCATATAATGCACATTTTGTGGCAAATTTATTTTGGGAGAGTATTTCCTTCCCCGTAGTTTCTATTAACTATAGATAAGCCGTTTCTACAGTATGTAAGTTGACATTATGATATAATTATGTGTATTTAATAAGTGATTAACAAATGTAATCTACATTGTCAGCTACTACAAATCAAGTCAGTCAATATAGTAAATACAACGAAATCTAATATATGATACCATTCTAACATAATCATTCCACAGAGATGTACAGTGTTTTTATGCAATATTATTTTAGATGATTTTTGGCACATACAGTATCTCTCTGATTTCCATAAATTAGTCAAGATGAACAAATACATATAAACCCAGTGTCTTTCTGCTTTCATGTTTGTGTCTGATTGCTACTAAAACACACCTTCAAGGAAGAATGATTAGGTAGACAGTAGTAGTGACTTGAGGAGCTGTTGTATCAGCAGGGTGGATCACCCATTGTCAGAGGATAACAGGTGAGCCTTGCCCAGTTTATACAGCCGGGCTGGGCTGACACTGGCATAGGGCGTCCACATGTAATACACTCAATCAATGAATGACAGCATAGTGACAATGACATCAATGGTGTGGCTTCGTAAAGTTTTGTTTCAAGTTAAAACGCCTAACCAATGACATGTACCTTGCCCTTTTTAGGTTGTTGTGTCGAACAATGATTGAGCTAGCTAGAACATTTGTCACCATGGCGACTGGTTGTGTGAGGATTAGTGTCAGCAGTTTTCCTGACTACACGCCAACCAGGAAAAACTCTACACCCTGGTCATTGCAGCCCTAATAATTAGGGCAAAGAGTTTTTCCTCTGGTCAGGTCATGTGATTCAGGAAACATATTCTGGCCCTAATGGTCCCTGTGGGAATTGAACCCACAAACTTGGTGTTGTTGGAGTGGTTTGTGAACTGCCTGTCAAGTCGAACCCAGTGTGTTAGGATGGTTGTTAAGTAGGAGACTGTAGAGCAATGTTCCCTCAAAAGATGTAGGCACTGGGCAAATTTCAGGTCTGCTGAGCGCAAACTTGAAAGTTGTGAAAATTCTGTACAACTTCCAGCGCGCATTTACTGTGAAAACTGAGGCTGTACC